CTTCTGTAGAAGGTGTTAGATAAGAATGAAGGGGCATGCTACTGAGGGAAGTATCGATGACCAACCCAAATGGAATCAGGTGGTTAACAGGAGATAAAAAAATTTAGGCACTTTGGAGGGAGAAAAAAATCAAACAATGGAATTAAACCAGGGTTTAGGTTCTGCCCATATTATGTCTAGGAACATTATTTTGGGGAAGTTGCAGGAGCATTTGAAGATTTAAAGTGGAGTATGCTTGCACACATCAGATTTAGTAGCTGGAGACACCATCCCCACCAACAAAGCATCCTGTTTCCCAGGAATGGTGGAAAGGACCTTAGCTGTGTGCGTGTAGTAGGTCTTGATTTGAAACCGAGGGAGACCGTCCTGAGAGCCCACAGGGTATGATCTTCCCTTTGTTTTTCTTTCCCCCTGTCTTGTGTGGTGCTCTGCCTTCCATTTAAGGAAAAATAAATAAAAAGGGGACTGTAATTGAATTAAGAACAGCAAGTCCCAAACTGCTCAGTTCTTCACGTGAGACCAAAAGAAGATTTGGTTTTGATCTTAGAGCAACCAGATGCCTCACTTCTAAGAGATTCCCCTGACTTAACCCACTCGTGCCCTTGCCTAGGCAGAAAAAATTCTTGTGTAACAAAATCGAGAGCAAGGGGATCCAAACAGCAAATGTTTCCTTTTTTCCCAAGTGCAGAAACAGAAGTATTCCCTTCCCTGGTTTAAATGTAAGTTTGCTTGCACTGATCTGTGGTAGAAAGAGCAAGGAGTCAGGATGCTGAATCTCAGACATCGAGGCTAGGATAAATAAAATTGCGTTGGTTTTGGCATTTATCAATTCCTATTATTTTGTAAGACTCTGTAAGAAGAGAAACACATTCTGCCAATCATTTGGATGCTGTGAAATATATGAACATTTTACATTAAATTATTGTCTCACTTTTAGATAGCTTTTGAGGTGCTTGTTATTTAATATGGGGCTCACTTCCTTCATACTATAAGATTCATGATTAATAATTTAATACAAAGATGCTAATTCTCACAAATGCTTATACAAATGCAGTATTACAATCTTTATTTCACTTTATGTTTTTGTTAGCCACTGTGTTCAGGATTACATAGTAGTGAAAACAGAAAATAAAATCCTTCTTGAGTAGCAAAGCATCCCTGACTTTGCATTGTTATTTGACTACCTTGACTACCTTATCACTTGTCATAGCTGATCTTAAAAGTTCCAAACAATGTCACTCTAAAAAAAAAAAAAAAAAGAATTCTTTTTAAATAGTGCCTCCACCCCCACTTCTTCTCCTTCTCTCTCAGCCAAGGTAATAAACACAAGGCTCAGGAAGTAATAGAACTTTTCTTGTAAATCTCCAAGAATGATAGAGAAGGGTGGTGGTGGTGGCTGGGGGGAGACAGTGAAATGTGCTCAGAGCTCTACAGAAACAGAGGCAGACGATACCTTTTCTCTTTGTGCTCTGAAACTTTTTCCAGGAAACATACTGCAAACCAGGGGATCACAGTTCCTTTATTAGCAACTGCCGAAAACTTATCTCAGAGGCACAGCTGATCTCTGCTTGCTGTGCGTGGTTTCAGAACTAATGTTTTATGGGTGTGAAATCAGTTGAAATATGGTTATGAGATTTTTCACCCAGATATTCCCTTATAAGTTTTGCCAAGACATTATATGCTTGGATCTTTTACCATATTTGCTTAAATAAATAAGCGGAGGTTAAGTGCAAACTTGACACCAAAGCATGTTATATCTGTACTCTGTCAAAATCTCATACACGGAGCTTAGCTCTGTGTGTGTATGTATTCTTATCTATTTATAGGTTCATTTCCTGGTTTCTGACGCCAGACTCATGCAATTTGAAAGGGAATAGAGTATGTACCATCGTCACATCAATTTCTGGTGTTTCAAACTTCATGACCAAATTTCACCCATAGGTACTAAATATCCAAACTACTGTCACTGATTAGACAGTTTAAAAGAATGTTTCCATTTTAAACCTCTTGGAGGAAAGCTATCATTAAGATTCACAAACTCCAAGTTTTCTTTTTTAACAAAGTGGCTTCGGAAGCACAATAGCTTCTAACAGGTGCTAAAAAGCAGTCTAATTATAGCTTCATCCATGTTTCGTTTCTTTTCTTTCTTTTCTTGCAGCCATATTCTGTTCCACTTTATCTTTCATGGTCATCCCACAGGATATACACAGTCTATTCTTTCATTGAAATTTTTTTTTGCAGCTTCTTAGACATTTTAACATGAGAGCAGATAGTAATTTTACAGACAATGATAAAATGTATAGTTTGCCATGAATCATGTTCATCTATGATAGTGAAATGCTTATGATTGCTTTAAACTCAAAATTAAGTTGGCTGAGCTTCACAAACCCCTAGATCTTAAGTATTATTAGTCTTCTATAACTATACAAGTTAATTGATATACATCTTAACAAAATTTCTACAAGTCAAGCATAAACAAAAAATGACAGATCCTTAATTTGGTGATACACACACAAAAAAATCTCATATATGAAGAACAGAAAGCTGAGCAAAACTCATAGATTAGCACACTGCTCATGAAGACTTATCAGCGCTGAAGGGGCTCCTCCGGTAAACCACTTCCTGTCTTCTCTGTCTTTATAGAACATGGTAATTAGTTCCTTGCTTACTTTCCACTTCACGTTGTGTTGTATAAATCTGGCTTAATGGTGTCATGTCTGGTGAATATAAATGCAACTCAAAGAGTTAGCAGGGAAACAAAAATGAGTCCTTCCTTCTATTCTAAGGTCTATTATTTTTTTTCCAGGTTGTAGTTCTTACAACCCCACTATGAATTTTCCTTTTTCTAGACCTCTCAGGCAAATTGGAAAGAAATGTTTAGACAGCTAATATAGGTTCATCTTGGAAAATATTTAAAATACACATAATATAGTTAACTAAGCAACTGAATAAATAACTAAATAAAACCTGAGCCTTATTAATGAGCAATACATAATTTTATATTTTTTGAAGGCATAAATCATTTCAGATTTTTGAGTCATTTAACATCACTCAAAAAAAAGAAACTTGTTGTGTAAATATGTCAAACTTTATTGAGCCAATCCTCCACTTTAACATTTGGGTTATTTGTAGTTCTCATTATTAAAATCAACCTGCAAAGAAAGATTTTATGAGATAAGGACATTGTAGACATTCTTAATTAATAATTAAGATGAATTCAACAAAAGTGAAGCTCTTTGGTACATTTAAATTTTCTTCAGAAAAAAGTGTGCTGATTCATCAGCCATGACTGGGTTTGCTCTTTTCTTGGTCTCCTTGCTGATGTGGGTTAACAGTATTAAAAAACAAATATTAATGACAACCAAAAATATATTGTTTTAAGTCATATTTTTCCTTTACAAGAAAATTGCATGTAATATTTTTAAGATTGGTTTGGTTTTAGTTAACTAGGAAGAAAAATTTGGAAGCAAATTTCCCAATAAGGCAGGAGTTTGTAGGAGTAGTGCTGAGGGCTCTCTTTGGGTTGAAATAGGAAGATTTTACATGGAGTGCATTATGGGGACTTTAGACGTCACTTGAGACAATGATAGACTGCTCTTTTCAGCAACTACTAACAGCATGAGGAAAAAAAAACTAAACTTTTCACACATCCCCAATAGCAAATAATGATAACGAGAGCTTGCTGAGAGGCAGCAGATGAGTTGTTGGACACACTGGTGTGTCCACGAAGTGTCTTGCCTCCCGCCTGTGTGTTCAGACCTCATCTACAATGAGGAGTCCTTATTTTCTTCACTCCTTGAGCAGCAAGGCTCGCATTTCCTCCCCATGCACTGCAAACTTTCCCAAGGCTACCTCCAAGTCTTTGAGAATTCTTTAAGGATGGTAGCTCTCCTTGTTATCCCCTCCATTTGACCCTCTGTCTCCATTTCTGCCTTTACTGTTATAGTTTTGTTTCATTTCATTCTACTGATCTGTCTGGAATAACACAAAAATTAGGCTTTTCCATTAAGCTTAGAGTAAAAGGAGAATGAAATGACAGCTCACTATAGAAAAGAGACCAATGCTGTATTATCACTCTCCTGAATTTTCAACATGGGTTTTATTTTTGTTGTGGTGGTTGTTTTGTTTCATTGACTATGACCAGGTGATGCTGAAATTGGTCTTGAAGGACATGTTTGAGTTGTAGAAATTTGGTAAAAATGATATTTTAATCACAGGTGTTCCAGGCACACAGCATCATGGGAGAGCCACAAATAGTCTCCATGCTTGTAGGTATGGTGCTAGGAACAAGGGTATCATTAAAAAACTGTGTGCCATGTTAAATATCCAGAATGCATTCTGAGGATGATGGACTTCACTGGAAAGTCTCCAGCAAGGGTGACAGGATTTGGTTCTTGCTGTGAACAATGCACTCTAGAAGTCCTATGGAATACACTGGCCTCAGAAGCCGGCCACACTTAGGTGGGGCAACCCATAGAATCTAAAGTTACAGCCCTAGTAAACAACGCAACACAAAATGAAACAAACAAAAAACAAAACAAATAAACACACAAAAGAGCCCTAAACCAAATCTGCTATACCAGAGATGTAGAGAACAGCTCAAGAGATATTTGATAGAATGGATTAATGGGCCATCATCCTGTCAGGGATAAATATGAGGCATTATAAATAATTTTTATTTAAAATTTAGGCTCAATGCCTTCAAAAATAGCTAAACAATTACAAGTTCCTTGTTTAAAACAAATATACATGTTTTGCATTTAAAAACACTTATTTAGAAAAATGATCAAGAAATAGTCTCTTCTTTCTTACATGTCTATTGATGTGTATGATGAAGTTTAAAGGAATCAAAATAATCCCTTCTGGCTTTTTTGTTTTTGTTTTTGTTTTGTTTTGTACTTTTTTTTTTTTTTTTTTTGCAGTTTCTGCTCTTTAAACTGAATCCAGATCTAACAATTTCAAGCTATTATGTAAGGAGCATAAAAGCATTTTGCCAAAGCCACCCAAACTATACATCTTTTGGGAGATCTACCACTAAGCGGGAGAGAGAGAATCATAGAGCAACGCTTTTAAGTGGACCGGGAGACAAGCAGCAGATCAAACGTCTGGGGTTGAGGTTAGTGCTGTCAGCTCCTTTGCATACTTGACTTGCATTATAAAGATCTGTAATACAGACTTGAAGGCGGAACCAGGTTCTAAATTTGGAGCCCTAGCAGGAAATTATTAAGAGTTCTGTGATTAATTTATGCAAACGTGGAATCATCCCAAATTGTGGCATGGGCTGGAAACTGAGTCCCTCATGAGCCTTCCCAGTTTAGTTTGCAGGTTATCAGACCCTTTCTCTGGTGAGTGAGTGTGTGGCCAGAAGCAGATATCATCACTTTTGTGTAGATCCTGGGCTGGAATTGGCTCTTTTCTACAGCTGGTATGTGGTTTCCTGCCTTTTATTTAACGTTACCAAGGTGATGTTTTCAAATGGATGAAACACAATTTCCTGAATGTTCACAAAACTGAAACTGTATTAACTAGTCCTGGGTGCTCTAGCTCTGCCTAGGCCTTAAACACTTATGATGTTGATATTGTCTTTCATTGTATTAAATTAGCTGCGTGATTAGCAACTTGAGCATCCTGTTGCGTTTGGCTATCCTTTGACTGTGTAAATCTATCATTAGAGCCCATGGATTTCAGACTTTTGATGCAGGCAGGGAGCAGAACACATAAAGCTTCCAACTTCTAGAAAAGTGAAACAGTGGCTTTCCAACCATGCATTTCGTTGTTTTGTTTTGCTTTTTTGCATTACCGCCCCTGTAAAGTGTTCCACATTAATCTTTCAGTTCTTCTGCTCTGAGTGGTATTTGCTGTATTCTAGAAAAAAAAAAAACATCTTGCTGCTCAATTCTTTGTTATCATGGTTTCATACTGCATACACATACTCTGAGGATGATCTTCTATATTTATGCAGCACTAAAATATCTTGCATAGTTCTCCAGAAAATTTCCTTTTGCAAATCCTTTATATTTTATGTGTGCCCTTTGTGTTTCATCATTTCCCATTATAAGAATTTTCTTGTAGCCTGATGAAAGGGTTTTAGTATCTGGTCTCTTGAAAAACATGTTAATAGAGTTTTACTGAAAAGAAGCACTATAATTAGATCGCCATATAAACCTTGTTAGCTAAATCACTTGATAGTTGTTTGAAATAAGATGGTATTATTATTACTATAATAGCACTTTTATAGATACATAAATAAGGGGAAAGGGACCATATTAGCACATGCTTGTGCACATCCGGTCTTTACCCAGACAGTCTGGAAATTCAGTGACATGGTTTGGTCACCGAGTTATGCAGGAAGTCTAGACCCCTGACTTTCTCTTCCTTTCCTTTGCATTCATTTCTCTCTCTTCCCCCCTCTCCTATCAGATTCTGAATATTTCACTCAGGTAAGGACACTACAGAGAGAGAGAGAGAGAGAGGACCACTGGAGACACTCAAATCTTTGCAGCCATTCTGTGTTGCTAGTTTTGAAAATTTTTTGCAATATTTAGACCGGGATTTCTAGCTGCCGCCACACAGACTGGCCTGTGCCTGCTGAGGAACCACTGGTTCCTGAGTACCTTGACTACATCTGTTTCTCAACAATAAAATTATAAAAGCAAAACTAATGAATGCAAGCCCTGTACCAGATCCTGTGTTCAGCAGGTGCTGAAGACATGGTGAGCAGAGTGGGCCTCGTGGCTTGACTCCCCTCCGCTCAAGGCAGCCTCTGAAGGTTGACCTCTCAGGTTGGTGGGAAGGGAGCAGAGCCAGAGCTGCCAGCCCATGCTTCTCAGGGAGAAGCCCCACTCCCTGCTTACTAGATTAGAGAAGGAAAAACCAGAACCAGGGAAGGCAGGAAGCATGGAAATGTCTGCAGCAGAGAATGCTTTGGAAAGAAACGAATCTGGAAACAGAGAGAGAGAAGAAAGAGGAGAAGGTAGCAGAGGGCTGAAAATAGGGCGAGGAAAGGGGGAGAGATAGCCCAACAGAAACTGGGTTTTAGGGAAAGCAATTTGGAAAACTTTGGGACAGAGAGAGTAGCACCCTGAGGGAGATTGATGAGTTGGAAGGATTTTTTAAGATCTGCTGTTGTGCACGATGCAATATAATCTTGCGTTTGGCAAGTTTAAGGGACTGCAGTCAAGATTTAAATTGTCTCCAATTTCACATTGGAGGTACGATTTGCTTTCCTCTAAATGTAATAGGATTGCTCATGGGATGGTGCGATTTTCTGGGATTAGTCCTAGCTTCTGCATTGCCTGGAAATGGTTTGCTAATTATTTTGAGTGGATCTGTTCACTTCTAAGTAAGTTTTAAATCACTCTGGTGTCACACTTCTAACTTATAACACAGTTCCAGGCACGTTTTAATTATCCATAATGCTCTGCCCACCATTCCTTTCCCACTTCATTTTCTTTCTTTTCAAGTGTGTGTGTGTGTGTGTGTGTGTGTGTGAGAGAG